CTTGGCTCCTGCTTCCCTAACAGGATAATCATCCAGATAAGGAATCAGGTATGGGATGTGTGTCACAGAGAAATAATGAATCCAATGTTTCTGTATGAGAAGTGCTAATAGCTTTCAGCGTCGTGTCAAACTTAACCTCTTCACTGCTGAGCACTGGGGTTAAACTGCACTTTTTAAAGGGATCCTATAGTGACAGGAAAACAAACCTGTTTTCCTGGCACTATAGGCTCTTTGAGAGCCCACCTCCCTCGGTGGATATAGATTGTGATGTCAGCCGGCGGGGGTGACCTAATTCGCGGCAATGGCCACGCGCGCATTAGAACTCCCCATATGAAAGCATTATTCAATGCTTTCCTATGGGGAAAATCTGACGCTGGAGGTCCGTGAGGACGTACAGCGTCAAATAAGTGCGATTTACTCTGTGTAAATCATGGAAGCTGGCTGGATTAACCCTGCAGTGTAAACATGTTTTCAGCTGCAGGGTTAAAACAAGGGGGACCTGGCACCCAGACCACTTCATTGAGCTGAAGTGGCCTGGGTGCCTATAGTGGTCCTTTAAATGTATTTATGAGGAACTGCCTCTATAGGTCGTCAGTGTGTTATATTAGAAATATAAATATTGCTGAAACTGAAAAAGAATGTCAGGAACTATGCACCAAAAACGCTACATTAAGCTTAGCACATACACTCAAAACACCAACAGCCATGTCAGAGAATAGGGCATTTCTTTTATAATCCAACACAATATTCCACAGTTTATTTAAATTTTTTACATTTTATGTAATAAGCTGCACTGTGTTATCTGCGGAGGCACATGGGCAGCATTTCCCCAAATTAACCCTTTCCACGATCCTCTAATAAAAATAAAGTAGTTCCAGGTCATTTCATTCTTTGTTTTGTAGCGCTTCCCAGCCTGTGAGCTCAGCTATTTAAAATATTAATGTTTTACTTTATATTTCTGGCAAATAAAAACTCAATCAGATATTGAAGGTTTTGGTCCAGTCCACGATGGACAACCCAATCTGCTATCATACCAAATAAGTTGAACACACATGCATCTCTCAACTAATGAGACCACTCAGATCTTTGCGGTTCGTTCAGTCCAACTTTCTTATACAATGAAAGACTTCTCGCTTTTCTGTCTCCGCAAATATCACAGAGACAGGTCAATCAGTTAATGATTTTACAACAGGACAACCTGCAGGGTAAAAGGTCATCAGAACTTAGTCAGACCTTGCATTCCTTAGCCTACAATTGTTGTAAATTATTACTTTGTATTACACTTAATACCCCATAATGACAAAGCAAAAAAGAAAATTGTATTTTTGAAAAATTTGCTAATTTATTAGAAGTAAAATCCTGAAATATCAGATTGATATACGTATTCTGCAGGCGCATGCACACACACGTTGTTATAAATAAAGCACCAACAAATTCCGCAGCGCTCTATAATGGGTGGATTAACAAACAAGAATTGTAATAAAATAAGTTGGATGCACAGAAACAGAGGTGTAGAGGGCCCTGTTCAAACCAGCTCTCATTACAGAGGGAGTGGGGTATAGTGGTACAAACAATAAGGGACACTGGCCTCTGATACAGATTATAAACTCCTGACTTCATTCTCTCACCTGGCATAGTTCACCAGACAAAGCAGTGTTGTCTCTAAAAGCTGCACCACAAGCAGAGGGCCTCTCACCTTCATCAACGGCTCCTGAATTCGAGAAAAGACTAGGATGACATTTGGCAGTAAAGGATCAAAGTATACTTCCTTACATTCCTACTAGAGGCAGCTGCCTAAGGTTATGCTGTATGACTGGTCTAACATTAGCCTATATCACAGAAACAAGAAAGAGGGATCCTGTACACCACACGAATACAGAAAGAAAATGTAAAAAAAGTGTTATAGTCCTTTAAAAGGAGCTACATGTATTAGCAAAGAAAATACACAGAAATGGTTCTGTTCCAAGACACAGTGATCCTCTATTTCTCAGATAGGAAGGAATCATATTCGGTTTATTTTATGTTACTGTACAAAGAAAATGCTCCACTCCTCAATTAACTCAACAGGGATCAACAGATATCGATTTTTTAGGGTCGATACCAATAATAAGTAACCTTTAATGCTGATAATTGGTACCGCTATTCTTACCCCCTCCCTGCCTTTTGCCTGTGGCCAGGTAGGGGAACATTGCCCTCCCTGGTGGTCCTGTGGCTTTGTGCAGCCTGCCAGGGGGCTTCACATTGAAGAAAGGAAGGCTAGGCTAAAACCTTTTAACACATTTATATAATTATAATATTTAATATAATTTTATTCTCCTCTCCCTCCCTTTTACCCGTGGCCATGAAGGGTGACAGAGTCCCTGTTGGTCCGGCGGCTTTGTGCCCCAGAGGGCAGCCGGGACCCAGCACACACTATCTTGTTTCTTGCAGGACCTCTCTCTCAAGATAGAATGCGCTGGGCCTCAGCCACCTGCATTATCGGCAATAACGGATATATATATATATATATATATATACACACACACACACACACACATTATATCGACCAGACCAGTAATCTGTCAGTCACTATGACCCATACCAACACATCTCTAAACAGAGTGCAACTGAAATATCTCTGAATTATTCTACAAGAACAACACATACTTTGGCAAATACTACAGATCCCTCTGGAACGGAGGACACTGTGACCTCTGAAGCGTTTACCGTCCGCAGGAAATCCATGAAGTCCTTCTCCACAGTGCTGGGCAGGACAGATTCCAGATAAGCAATATCTAAGGAAACAAAGATTAGGAAACCACAAATACATCTCCCAGGTATGCATCTTCCCCCAGTATACGCACCCCTCCAGTATACAGTCAGAATTCTCCTTGTCACCAATCAGCCGCAGACCCAGAGCATGTCTCCCCCCCAGTGACAGGCAGACCCCGTTGCCCCCCGGTCTCTCTCTCAGTCTCTCTCTCAGTCTCTCTCTCAGACTCTCTCTCTCTCAGTCTCTCTCTCTCTCTCAGTCTCTCTCTCAGTCTCTCAGTCTCTCTCTCAGTCTCTCAGTCTCTCTCTCAGTCTCTCTCTCAGTCTCTCAGTCTCTCAGTCTCTCTCTCTCTGTCTCTCTCTCTCAGTCTCTCTCT